CTACAGGCAGCAATAGTTTACAAATCTTATGAATCGATTAAGTCGATACAAATCAAGGTAACCAACAAAAATGAGGGAATTGCATGAATTGTCAAAGGAGCAAGACCGGGTGCGTCGACAGAGTATTCGTCTCATGATATACATGCAATACTCATCATGCGTATCCACACTAAGTAAAAATGGCACAATCTGGAATAGATGATAAACTGTAGAGTCGTTGATTTCAACATTCCCTTACAATAATTGAATAAAGAACAGAGCACCAGAGACTTTTCTAGTGACATAAGCCATGTCTTTAAAATTTACCAAAATTGCATTGAGATAAGATGTCTTTACTTTTGCCATAACTTCAAACAAATCTGTCCCAAGACTTATAATAATGACGGTAGGGTAACTTCTGTAAACACAACTACGACGACAGTTGTTTTTAGAAGGTGGTGCAATTTATTTTTTTTATAATGACGATGAATTGACGAACTAAATTGTAGACTTAAGGGAATAGTTTAACCAACTATTTATCTTCAAAAACAAGTTGCATGTTATAAAATTACAAAAAAGTTATATAACCATCTCTATATAGGTCAGAAATTATACATATTAGCAATGCCAGTTCTAGTAAAATTGATGCTTAAATCTGGAACAGAAAATAGAGCTGACACTGATTGTCAATAATAGATCATAAATAGACGCCCTAAATGAATAAAAAATATGATGTAAAACATTAAATTTATGTTCTGTATTTATCTGCATCTTTGATATACCAATGTATTAAACAGATATGAACATTTACATCGCATGATATTCTCTGGTTTTTAAAATTAAGTGTTAAAAGGCCAATCGAGGCTATCAAAGATACCAGGCTAATAATTTAGTATGCCAGATGCGCGTTTTGTCTACAAAAGACTCACCAGTGGCGCTCTTAACAAAACAGTTGGACGGCCAAATCAAATACGAAGTTGATGAGCATTTAAAACCGAAAATTCCGAAAAATAGTGCAAATACGACTGAGGCAATCTATGCCTGAGGGGTAGAAAATCCTTAGTGTTTCGAATATTTTCAATTCAACTTTTTATTAACAGTACACCTTCAGAAAATGAACATATTGATATGTCATGTGAACACAAAAGTGCAGACTACTGCTGTAGAACAGTTTGTTTTTCGGACACCTGCCCCATTGTTTCTTCGCTTCGGCACAATTCGTTAATCTAAACTTAGAATCACCACAAGATCTTTTTATTCTCAACGTTTGGTTGAGTTTAGGAAGATTCCCAGGTGTGCATATAATCTAATGATTAAAACAATATATGTATTATCCCAAAGTAATGTATTCACCATAAACAGTAACATAGATTCGTAGTAACGTTGTTCAACTTTAATACCGCGAATTCTTAATGTACTCCAATGAATTCCAATTTTCATGTTCTTTTTCGGAAAGAACAATAACCCGCATGTCCCTGACGCTTTGACGGAGGCTAGTGGAATTGATAACCATGCGAAAGTTATCAGTACTGCTGACTAAATATTGCTATACAATCTTTCCTACGAAATGCTATAAATGAAGTGCATCGAAAGCACGAGTTATTTTGGTATCATCCAGACCAATGCATTTGAAATTTCGCAGAAGTGTGTTGTGAATGGGGTTGATTTCCAAGAGGGAGGCCTTTTTTATCCTATGTCCTCATATTGCTTGGCCTGGTCTTGTTACTGATATGAGATATGTATTACATGACAAACACATAAAGTGTTCATCTTTGGCAACGATTGCTGGCATCATCATTGTCACTACAAAGACGACAGAGTCTCAGATATTGAATTTAAGATATTACAGTTTTGCAGGATTGCGAATAACAAGACCAGCAGTGAGTATCAGTGGGTTTGTAGAAAACGGTTGATTTAAAATTATCAGGCAATGTCTAGGAAGGAGACAGTTTGAATAATGATATATACATAATATGTGCGATTAATAATTACCATTGCTATTTCTATTGAACACCGGTTTTTATTTTTACCAAACTCCTAAATACAGTGGTTGGATTTCTTTGCTGTTTCCTACTTTACGTGTAGTCGCCAAAAGATGAATAATTCCCGTATATACGAAATATTGTATAAGGAAAATTAGAATTACCTCCAAAAAGACTGTAAAGAATGAGCTAAGAACCACCAAAAATACGTATGATAAAGAATTCAATATATATGATCTTTCTTGTGAACTGATAATCACAAAGAAGAAACGAAGAATTCTAAAGGAACATTCAAAACTTATAAGCTGAAGAAAAACTAACAACGCCATGGCAAAAAAAAAACATTTTTATAAAAAAATATTTACAGAAAGTACAAACTGGTCTCATTCGATGATGTCTCAATTGAGGAGAAGAGGATGGACTATTGGAACATGACCGTGGTCAGCTATGAAACAGATATCTCATAACGGTAAACTAACTCGTGATGGCATGACTTTTTTAAACTTTTCGAAGGGTTGGCTTCTACTTATCCATTTAGAACCCTAGGTTCAATAGCTTACTTGTAAAAAAAAAATGAAAACAAAACGTTATAAATGTAATGCGTTCGAAGCGCTTTTCTGGATTTACCTTCATCAGGAACGCCCAAAGCCGAATATTTGAAAGCCAATGATGTATGAGGACCTAAAACGTTGAAGAGCTAAGGTGAAACACACTACTTAAATATTGATATCTGACTGGCATTAGTCTTTGTGATTTCATTCTATTCACAGTGGTCTCGACAAAGATGAATTAATATAAGCTAGTAATATAAAATTGCAAGATAAATGCCAAATCAAATTTGTAGCACCCTATATAGATATAAGAAGATGTGGTATGAGTGCCAATGAGACAACTCTCCATCCAAGTCACAATTTATAAAAGTAAACCATTATAGGTAAAAGTACGGTCTTCAACACGGAGCCTTGGCACACACCGAACAGCAAGCTATAAAGGGCCTCAAAAATTACTAGTGTAAAACCATTCAAACGGGAAAACCAACGGTCTTATCTATATAAAAAACGAGAAACACTTATGAACCACATCAACAAACGACAACTACTGAACATCAGATTCCTGACTTAGGACAGGTGCAAACATGCATTTTTCTTCAGAGATACTCGAAACAAACATTGAAAATCCAGTAAGATCAAAGTTAAACACATGTTATCAAAAACTTATTAAATTGTTCAACAGGCCGATTGCAACAAAAAAGAAACGTATCTGAAACATCTTAGTAAAAAGGAAGGATATATATACCATGGGACAACCAAAAACCACAAGCCGGAGAAAAATAAACATGTCATAGTAAAAGAAAATGACGAACCGACACTAAAAAGAAAACACATTAAAAGCAACATGAAACCAACCAAAATAACCGGTGAACTAAGACGATCAGCAAGGATCATCAGTTCTAGTTGCTGATCAAACTGTCGTGTAACTCCTGTAAAGATAAGTTGACGAGTCAACTTAGCTGATTGTGCATCTTTCAATAGAGCAGTAGAAAAGGTCTCTTGTCTAACCGTAAGACATCACCAAATTCTTAAATCATCAGTCCATAACATTATCTACCACTAAAACGTATCCGAATGTAAATGTTTGAAATGAACCTTTATTTCAGGACAAAGGAAAGACGATACTAATAGCAAAACATAAAACACTCAAAGGTGAAGCAAAAGCAACACTAGCCTGCAGATGCTCCAGATGTAAGTAGTTTCTTTTCTTTAAGTGGCATCCGTCTTGTTGCTCATGGCACGTAAGCATTCAGTAATGTTAAGATCGAGGAAAAGAGAACGAATTATTGCTCGGTCAATTGGATTGGTAAATTAGGAACTTCGTTCCCTTCCGTTGCACCTGGGTTCATACTCATTTTTCGTGGTTCGTGTTGCTCAGTTTGTGTTTGCTGTGTATTGTTTTGTAGACAATTGTTTAACTTTTCGTTCTTTTTCTTTTCCATGGTCTTGTCTATTTTCTTCCCCTTATAATTTTTATTTGACCATTAGTTTCTTCTCCATCTTTTTATAACCAAATATTTTATTTCGAAAGTTATCCGTGAAAAAGAAAAATTTAGATTTTAAAATGTTTAAAAAGTCAAACTAAAACTTATATGTTAAACTAATTTTGAATATTTGCAGTTTAATTTTGTATTGTGAATCTCAGGTTTCAACACTTGACATTTGACTTTAAATGTTATGTTTTAACCAAACCTCGTGACTTTTTATTTACATTTCAAAACATTTAAAGTGAGGCTAAATTTTAAGATTAAAATTCATTGTCAGCTTTTAAAAACACTGGCATATATAGTTTTGAAAGGTCGAAATTTAAAGTTATTTATCATTCATAACTATTGTTATAAATGTCCTATTTTAACTTGAAAGTACATAAAGAGATTACAATTTCGCGCTATAAAAAGATAAAGAGTTTTTAAAAAGCAAAAAATGCATAAATTTCATATTTTTTATGATCAATTCATAAAAACATTGTAATAAAAACGTGTATGTGTTCGATGTCAAATTCAGGTTTAAGGAATCGAGAAATTTGAGATTGATTCATAAATTGAAATATTATCTACTATTTTTTTGTAACTAAATGAACTTGACATTAGCGAAAAAAAAACTAACTGCTCCAGGATTCAAAATTTGTTTAAACAATATCATGTTCATACTTTCAGCGAGTGATTAATATTCAATCATACCGTAGTGGTTTTTTTTTTTGCGTTTTCTAGAATATTAGATGAGATAGGTGCAACGAAATAACAATAAATACATTCGTTGGCAAAAATTATCTGGCCAATATATAAATGATCCATATTTCCTTAAAATCCATATATTATTCGAACACAAATATATAATACTCTCTTGCAGCTCATGAACGCAACAAATGTTTGCTTTTTTTAGGAAATGAAATGAACCCACACGCGTTTCAAATATTGTATAGTCCGTTTTGTTTTGCAAACATACTTAGGAGTGAATTTTTACAGGGACACAAATAAAAAACAATTTATTCTGGTTTCTTGTATTTATTGACAATTATTTCATTCATACATTCTTACAAGCAAATGTCTGAATACATATATAATGTAAACATTTTCAAATGATTATCAGCATTATTGTTCAAATACTACATACCTAACTTTTATCACGACTTCAAATTTGTAACGCATTTCGACACCAAAATGATAAGTATACACTGAACAGATAATAGAGTCACTTCTAAAATTTTATGTAAAGAATATTTAAAAATATACTTATACATACTTCTACATACTAGTATACAATTTAATATAGTAGCATATTTTTTTATGCAAATGTTAAGTTTAAAATGATAGAAAGTGTTTCTCTAGAATCAAAATTTAATGTAGGCTAGACAAACAAGAAACGATAAAATAAATATAGATAAAACATGTCTACTTTCAATTTGGAAAATGTAAAGATAATTGGGTTTCAAATTATTTTTTTGGTTCTTTACAGGGTTTTATCCTGAGTTTGGTTTATATGTATAGTGCATTGTACGTGGTTCTGGTTTGAAAGGAAAGGAACATCGACTATTGTAACATTGAAGTTGTGCTTGATGCTTGTGGATTTACAAAAGTTTGTGAGTGTATCTGGTGAAGAAATCTTCATTAAAAGTTTTGGAACATTTCATCCATTGTTACCTGGAATAACAATAGGCGAGGGTCGGGTCAACAGTCAATGACCAACCATCAAACATCGACAAAAGATGAACAGAACAGAAAAAGCCGTAATAATAATCTTACAGTAGGATTTTTTCACATACATGACATGCATTTATTATCGGTGTTTCTGCACATTATTATCGTAAAATATCAGCCTCGAGCCACAATATAAACCTTGCCAGTGATAAAAAAAAATTAACATTGTGTCGAGCAGCGGATATTTTACGATACATATATACATGGAAGGCTGATAATCGGGTTATTGTTTTTAAGCTTGACGGAAATAAATTTAATAACTTCTCTCATATTGCGACGTAGCTGATAACTCCTCCTCACAGATTGTTGTCACATTTACCAATTATGTCTGTTTGCGTTAATATAACCTAACTATAAACAACTGTCATAAAAGGGGACGTTTAGTTAGCTCTATAAAATTAGGTTTAGGTGTAACGCCTGTACCAATTGAGGTTGATATAGTCGAACGTTTGATTTTGCCAGTTTTCATGGACTTCCCCCTTTTTTGAATTGAACTTGGAGTTTGGTATTTTTGTTCATACTTATATTGTGACGTCGCTGATAAGTTCTGCTCAGGTTTGTTTAAGTGAAATGCCAATATATAATTCTAAATTGCAATATAACAATTACTAGTATGTAATAAAGTTATTGTTTAATTTTACACTAGTTTTCAATATGTAACGAATAATTTCACTAATGTATGACCTAGGTATAAAACGCCCAGTCGATTCAGATTTGTTGATTAGTATTTCGGTCTTAGTATTAGTATTTAGGATGCAAATAGGATGCAAGGGGTAAAATTACTTTGCTGTATTTTATCTACAGCAATTGTAAAATTAAGGTATTACTATTACTAAACTCGTGTTATGTTATGAATATAATATATAATTTAATGTATGATTCTTAAAGAATTTTTTTTTTTGCATTCTTAAATGTGTTGCTATATTCAATGAAATCAAAATTATGCTGAGTCACATAAATGAAAATGAGCATTCATTCTCAATTCTATTCAGAACGTTTATCATTGGTTCTCACATTCGTACAGTTCAAACAGTCACACCATAAAACACAAAGTTAATCAAAAATACAAATTAATTACAACACTTAATATACACTGACAACATTAACAAATGTAAAATCTTGTTTCGAGTATTTTTATTAAATCTGTGATCAAGAATGTCTTCTTAACATATACAGGTGGGCTTTTTTATTTCCTTCAAGAGCTTGACTATGTCGACTATTTAAAAATATTCTTCCCCTTATATAAAATGATTATATATCACGCAACAATGTATCCGAAATTAATATCTATTTTTGTAACAAAAAGATTTTTCAGTATTTACAGAAAACGTCATAATAAATTGTTTTCACATTTTTAACTAAATTGAGATGAATTATCCAAAGCAAATCATCATGTAAACGCGGTATTGGTCCTTTGAGAATCTAAAATATCTATTTCTCGTCTCAAAAGAAAATGTCAAATTAGTTATGTGCTCATGTAACAATATATTAAAGTTTATTTTTAAGGTACTAAAGAAAACATACGTTTGTTTGTCTTTACTGATAACATAAATGTCTTCTGGGAAAATTAATCACATGTAAAGAAATCCAACAAGTTGGGCAGACAGATAACAGTTCGGGTGTACTGAATAATTAAAACAACACTTTATTTATGCATGCGTCCGAAGCGCTGTTCTGGATTTGCCTTCATCAGGATGCACATAGCATATATTTAGTCTAAATATTTGAAAGCCAAGGATGTATATGAACCGAAACAGTTAAAGAGCTATATGACCAAAAAAGACGTTAAAATTATAGCCAAATCCATCTGAGGTGAACTTTGCCTGAGGGAGTTAAAACCTTATATAATGATAAAAATTATAATAAAAAGAAACTATAAAAATGAATTAAGCAATTAAGCAATTAAAGACTTGGATAAATTTTGTGTTATTGTTGTCATTTTTAGGTGTCTGCACTATACTAAAGAGGCAGTAAATGCGTAAACCATAGGAATGTGTTCATATAAATTATATAATATCATTCCCCTTTAAACAGGGGGTTTATGTTCGCCATTCACATGGATTTGAGTTATAGTATGGGGTTGACTGACACATTACTTTATCATTCCCCACTTATAATATCATGTTTTTTCTCTTCTGTACAGTTAATAATCATAGTTCATTAATACCATTAGTAATAAAAGCAAAATCGATAAACCCGTTTGATTCGTTCAACATTCAACAAATATCGAAACATGGATATTCTTCTATCACACGTTCAAACAAATGCACACGTAAGTCACTTTGCTGCCTTTTAAAATACCCGTATGAACTGTAATGTACCTTATCACTATATAATCAAAGGTTTGGGTTTGATCTTTTCTTCAAAAAATTATCCTTAGTAGCATGTAATGAGAGTTAATTACTCGTTTAACCCTTCTCTGTCTCCAGGCATGTGATGTTCTCTTTATTACTCATGCATACACATTTTACGATTTTTCATTCTGTTTTATAATTTTGTTGATCCAACGAATATAATGTGAAACGTTTGTATAAATACCGTATTTACCCTTCTGACCACACCCTTCCCCGTAACTTGTTACACCGTAGACAATCCACCGCGTTGTACCGTTGATATTCTTAGGACATAGAAGTGGACCCCCACTATCACCTGCACAAGAATCGATCCCGCCTTTTTTGTAACCCGCGCATATTTGTTTCTCAGTTATTTTGTAGTCAAATGCCTTCCGACATTTCTTCTTGTTGACAATAGGAACTTCAGCTTCTTGTAAAACATTCGATCCAAAAAGATGCGTATTTTTTTCTTTTCCCCATCCAACTGTCATACACATTGTTTGGTCTGGAATGTCTTCACCTTCCTCTGGAAGACATGCGTACTCCACTTTATTCTTAACTTTTTCTGGTTTCTTGAGTTTCAGTAAAGCAATGTCATTGGTTATAGTTTCGTAATCAAAGTTGTGATGTGGGAAATCGCTATCAAGACGCAGGTCTACTTCTCTTCCTTCAGCAAAAAGCATGTCGTGTTCTCCTATTCTGACAATGACCCTTCTTCGTTTACCACGTTTACGAATACAGTGTGCTGCCGTTAACACCCATCCAGGGGCAATTAGTGTCCCTCCACAATATTGTTCTTTCCATCTGGTTAAAATTGCAACCTGAAAATTTTAGGGAAGTTCTATATAAACTCATTATAGATACCAGGATTAAAAATGTGTACTCCAGACGCGAATGTCGTCTACAAAAGACTCATCAGTGACGCTTGAATCAAGTTAAAAGTTAAATAGGCAAAATAAAAGTTGAAGAGCATTGAAAACCCAATGTGTTTACGCTCGAGCTTTCTTCGAATGTTGTCTCATTAACGTATACCAATATCGCATTTAATTTATTAATATCCTGACAAGAAACAAATCAGTTTTTTTTATCTTATACACTTAATAATTAGTGCTAGCTAAAGAAGAGAAGATTAAAGGTTTGAAGACAATATGAATGATGAGTAAAATAGATTTCCTAGATTAAATCAATGCACGTTTCATTCAACTTTTAAAACGTTTATCTATCGTGTATCTCTTGTCTTCTTCGTTTGAAAAAACAGATTTTCCTAACCACTACTGTTCAAGTTATACATGAAAAAAAAAAATGAAAAAAAAAAATTAATGAATGATTTGCGTAAAAAGTGTTTTGGTTATCGTACAACTCGTTTTAATTTATGAGTATTTTTGACAATATCAAGCTCTTCATCTTGATAATGATAGTTTTATCAGAATGATTTACCTGCCACGGCCAGCTGTAAGGTGTGGCTTTTTTACCCCCTACTATTCTGTAAGATCCACCACTGCGTACTCCGCACTGACCTTTCATGTCCTCTAACGTTGATGATATTATAGTGGAATGGGTTTTCGGCTTTTCACCTTCAAAATAAAAGTATAATTATTTTTTACACACAATCTAAACTTGCATTCAGATATATCAAGCTTTAGTATTACAGTGTTTTCGTGAACAAGGGAGAAAATATATCGAAAAGATTTCGCAGTCAACATATGTATGTACAAAACATAATGTGTTTCTGTCCGACAAGCAGCAACGTCATCCTTTAATATTTATTGATACAGGACATTATCCAACTAATGAAATCTAGTGATATACATCATAAACTAGATGACAACCTTTTAAGTCGACGTGGAAAGACATCATCCAACTAATGAAAACTAGTGATATGCATCATAAACTAGATGACAACCCTGTAAGTCGACGTGGACTAATGAAATCTGGTGATATACATCATAAACTAGATGACAACCCTGTAAGTCGACGTGGAAAGACATCATCCATCTAATGAAATCTAGTGATATACATCATAAACTAGTTGACAACACTTTAAGTCGACGTGGACATCATCCAAATAATGAAATCTGGTGATATACATCATAAACTAGATGACAACCCTGTAAGTCGACGTGGAAAGACATCATCCATCTAATGAAATCTAGTGATATGCATCATAAACTAGATGACAACCCTTTAAGTCGACGTGGACTAATGAAATCTGGTGATATACATCATAAACTAGTTGACAACCCTTTAAGTCGACGTGGAAAGACATCATCCAAATAATGAAATATGGTGATATACATCATAAACTAGATGCCAACCCTTTAAGTCGACGTGGACTAATGAAATCTAGTGATATACATCATAAACAAGATGACAACCCTTTAAGTCGACGTGGACTCATGAAATCTGGTGATATACATCATAAACTAGTTGACAACCCTTTAAGTCGACGTGGAAAGACATCATCCAAATAATGAAATATGGTGATATACATCATAAACTAGATGACAACCCTTTAAGTCGACGTAGACTAATGAAATCTGGTGATATACATCATAAACTAGATGACAACCCTGTAAGTCGACTTGGAAAGACATCATCCTTCTAATGAAATCTAGTGATTTACATCATAAACTAGATGACAACCCTTTAAGTCGACGTGGACTAATGAAATCTAGTGATATACATCATAAACTAGTTGACAACCCTTTTAAGTCGACGTGGAAAGAAATCATCCAAATAATGAAATCTGGTGATATACATCATAAACTAGATGACAACTGTGAGTCGACGTAGAAAGAAATCATCCATCTAATAAAATCTAGTGATATACATCATAAACTAGATGACAACCCTTTAAGTCGACATGGAAAGACATCACCCATCTAATGAAATCTAGTGATATATATCATAAACAAGATGACAACCCTCTAAGTGCACGTTGGAGGACATAATCCAACTTATGAAATCTGGTGATATACATCATAAGCTAGATGACAACCCTGTAAGTCGACGTGGAAAGACAACATCCAACTAATGAAATCTAGTGATATACATCATAAACTAGATGACAACCCTTTAAGTCGACGTGGACATCATCCAACTTATGAAATCTAATCTGTATGGCTAGTAGTCAAAAGCAAGTGGTGTTGCCTTAATTGGAATCCCACAAAGGGAACGATGTAGATATGCTAAAACATTCAGTTCCGACATTGTTGAAGTGAACGAAAATGTATATATAGTATAAGTTTTACCATTCTCTTGACTTCTCGTGAGTAAACAATAAAATTTGCAGATCTATCATTGTTGGGCTGATGTGTTTTGTTGACTCTGACATTTTCTTAAGGGGTATTGTATTGCTTTTGATTTCAAAGGAGGAGATATCATACTCCATCAAGATTGACTGCAGTGTTTTAAAGATATAATTCATCAGACAAAGGTGTACTCTAGAGACGTGATGGAAGATCATTCTTAAAACTTTTAACAGTTAATATCGTAAGCAAGCCACTGTTGCTATAAAACTGATCAAATCAGGCAAACAATATTCATTTATCAAATTATAACCGACATGAACATGGCTTTCTTTCTTGGTTAAACAGCAGAACTGACGTTCATCAAAATATTCAATCATAGAGCGTTGTGCTGCTGGCTTTTTTCTTCTGTTTTGCATCCTCGTCAAATTTTGCTTATTTTCCTTGACTACAATAAATTGTTTCATTTTATTGGGATGGTGTCTTTTGTAATACCGAAATTATACAATGAGGTACTAAAGTAGTTATTTTGCTTGTTTGATTTCAATTGTGCATTTTTTTACTCGGGTGTTCCGGAAGGTTTAGTTGCATTCATCTACTTTTCTAAACTTAGAGTTAGATTGAAAAAAATATTCAAACTTCGTTTCATAAAAAAAGAATGACCAACGTACGTACAAATATCTTTTTTTAGAAAGGTACATATCATACTTTGTAAAAAGAAACCTATTTTTATCCAAACAAAAATGTCTCAAAATGCTTGATTTTGAAGAAAAAAATTGTTACGTTCGGTTGACGTGTTTCTATTATGGGAACCAACTGTGCTCTTCTTGTAAACGTGTTTCTTTATTCGCTTATATACGAGGCAGACTTTATAATAGTTTTTGTGACTGTTAACCGCATCTATTCAATTAAACTTGAAAAGGATACAATTAAGTCTGCTTCATATCTTGACTTACTTCAAAATTTGACAATTAAGGTCGGCTTCCTATGAAGAGACCATAAGTTTGTGTTGTTAGTGAGTTGTCCCATTAGTTTAACCCAATATTTTTATATTTACAATAAATAGACTGTTCTTGATTGACTACATGTTGTATCTTTGCTATCCCATTTAATAGAATGTCACTTGCTAAATAAGTTATAAATAAGAACGACTTAGGGGTTATATATGAATACAGTCTAGAAGCTTTGTCAGAACTATACTGTTCTTTGTCCACATATCCCATTGAATCATAAAGCAGCTTATTCCGCCGGAAGTTCAGATAAAAAACAAATTTATAGTGTTATATCTCAAATATTTTTCCCAAAAAAAAAAGTTTTATGAAAATTTTCTCAGTAATACTAATTTTTGCATGATTAGAACTTAATTTATGAGTAATTTTCAGCAAATCAAGCATTACGTAATTAGGGATATATTACATAACTCCCAAATAAATGGACTATCTCTAATAGAATATAGGAAATAATTTCTAAAAATAGACACTGTAGTGTAGTGTTCTATCTCAAGAAAATGGGATTCTTTATTTATTCAAGATGCTTGGTTTTTTTTTCTTCTTCAAAATACAAGCATACAAAGAATTGCCCTCTAAGTTCAAAATTTAATACCTACAGAAAATGTCTAAATATTTTAGTCAATTATTTATGATATTGCGCTTTTAAAATTCATTTTCAATTTACGAACATTTAGAAAAATAGTAGTTACATCATTATAACACTCGCATGACGATGTTTGTGAGCGCTTCCCTCCCCTAAACCTGGTATGTATAGTTTTACTTTAAATGTGTTCGATTCCTGCACTGTTATAGTTACCCACGCATCTCATTTTATTCCTATTAAAAATGCTAACAAAATTACAAGGGAATGTTTCATTTACCTTCGTACTTAAAATGTAACTAAAGACTGTTTCAATCGCTCCAGATTATTAAAACCGATTTTAGAAAATTTCAGAGCTATCAGCAAACAATATGATCATTAATGATATTATGGCAGCTAATAAATATTTACTTAATGCATTTATTTAATACATGTATGTGCAATTTTTGAAACATGAATTTCAGTGGGTGACGTTGTTACTAATGATTTTATGGCATTTAGGAATCTGGTGTATATAACAGATCTTCCGTTTCGTCTGTAATTAATTCATTTTTAGAATTTCTGTACTGGCATGAAAATACAAATATTGTTTTATTGAAATCTGCTGTTATAAATCTTATAAATCATTTAAAATTCCTGAACGTATTTCCCTCGGGCTTAGCTCTGATTTTTTTTTCGGGTTATGCTATACATTTTTTGTCCTTTTTAGCTCACCGGGCCCGAAGGGCCCCATGTGAGCTTTTGCCATCACTTGGCGTCCGTCGTCGTCCGTCGTCGTCCGTCGTCTGTCGTCGTCGTCTGTCGTCGTAAACTATTTCAAAAATCTTCTCCTCTGAAACTACAGGGCCAAATACCTTCAAACTTTAACTAAATGTTCCTTAGGATATCTAGTTTATAAATGGTATCCGAAGTTTTGATCCATCGACAAACATGGCCGCCATGGCTAAAATAGAACATAAGGGTCAAATGCAGTTTTTGGCTTATATCTCAAACACTAAAGCTTTTAGAGAAAACCTGACAATGGAGTAAAATTGTTCGATTGGTCAAGATCTATCAGCTCTGCAATTTTCAGACGAATCGAACAACCCATTATTGGGTTGCTGCCACCGAATTGGTAGTTTTAACAACATTTTGCATTTTTTTGTTATTATTTTGAATATTATTATAGATATATATAAACTGTAAGCAGCAATAATGTTCAGCAAAGTAAGATCTACAAAAGAGTTTATATGACCATAATTGTCAATTGACCCCTTAAGGAGTTATTGTCCTTTAAAGACTATTTTACACAATTTGTTCATCAAGTTTGCTAACATTAAAAAATCTTCTCCTCTGAAACTACTGGGCCAATATCTTCAAACTTTAACTAAATGTTCCTTAGGGTATCTTGTTTATAAATTGTATCCGAAGTTTGTATCCATCGACAAACATGGCCGCGCGCCATGGCTAAAAATAGAACATAAGGGTCAAATGCAGTTTTTGGCTTATATCTCAAAAACTAAATCTTTTAGAGCAAATGTGACAGGGGTAAAATTGTTTATTTGGTTAAGATCTATCTGCCCTGAAATTTTCAGACGAATCGAACAACCCGTTGTTGGGTTGCTGCCACCTAATTGGTAGTTTTAACAAAATTTTGCAGTTTTTTGTTATTATTTTGAATATTATTATAGATATATATAAACTGTATGCAGCAATAATGTTCAGCAAAGTAAGATCTACAAAAAAGTTAATATGAC